ACCATCTCTGAGTTTCTGATTGCAGGAGAGGGAGCAACAGCTGATCCTCATCAGCAGGCCGGCTTTATAAGGAGGAGGGTGACCATGCTTCGACGCTGGATTGATTGTAGTGTCTACTCGATGTCCCTAAAAGCATCTTCCCGTAAGTTGTCCCCACGTTTTATTGGCCCCTTTAAGATCATTGACGTTCCCTCTCCGACCACCGTTCGCTTGGACCTCCCTTCATCCCTCCGTGTCCACCCTGTATTTCATGTGTCCCTTGTTAAACCTGTGATCTCCAGTTCCCTCTGTCCCACTCCCCCTCCTCCTCCTCCTGCTCGTCTCTACAAGGGTGGTCTGGTGTACACGGTGAACAAGATTTTGGACTCACGTCTTCGGGGTCGTGGTGTCCAATACCTCGTTGATTGGGAGGGGTACGGTCCCGAGGAGCGCTCTTGGATCCCGGGTTCCTTCACTGAGGATCCTTCCCTGATCAGGGAGTTCGAGGCTGCCTCTGCTAGGACACCAGGGGGCGTCTGTTGAGGGGGGGTACTGTCATGAGCTGGGGTGAGTACTCTTCACACTATTCACCATCTCTGAGTTTCTGATTGCAGGAGAGGGAGCAACAGCTGATCCTCATCAGCGGGCCGGCTTTATAAGGAGGAGGGTGATCATTCTTCGACGCTGGATGATTGCTACTAACTGGTAGTCTCTAGCCCCTCGAGTTTTCTCTTGCCTTTCGATTCATTTTTGTGCTTGGTTTTTGAAGTTACGCTTAATGTGGATATTTTTCACCTCAGGTTGCTGCATCTCTGGATACTCTGCCAATCTCTGGAAGAAGTTTCTCCGGTTCGTTCCTGCATCACCTCTCATTCAGCCGACCCGCTCTCCACCACGCTCATGCTCCCTCTCCGAATCAGCCTCCTCAACTCAATCCGTCAACACTCATCCTCCTGGACTGCAATCTCGCTCTGGATATCACCCCAGCTCACTCCCCCTCCATTTTCCTGCCTTACTTCCCGACTCCAAACAATTCCCTCAAAACTACAACTCCCATACTCACCCCTATTTTCCCTTTAGACGCCGCTTCCTGTTTCTCATCTGCTGGACCCCAGTGTGCCCTTAGTTCTCCTGTTCAAAAAATAAAATATTTTATTTTTTACCTTTATACTCGCCTCAGTCTCTGATTCTGCATGTCTTGGGTTAGGCATCTACCTCAGAACATGACATAAATGTATTAATATCAGCACCTCTCTGGCAGCATGGTGTGAATAACTAAAAATTACCCATGCAGCCGCACCCACCTGGAATAGCATGTGGGAGGTGTGGGTACTGTAAGTTCAGGGGGTGCAGGTATAGTTCCCATTATTTTTAATTTGCACGTTTAACACACCAACGACATTCCATGCAAATGCATTTAGGGTCTTGGGGGTGAGCACACTCGATGGCACCTGGAGGGGGGGATCGCTTCACTCAGCCTCACCTTGGGTACCGGTGCCCACTTCCAATTTTAAGCTGCACCTAGACACTGAGAGTTCCGGGGGGAAGTGAGGTTGTGTGCAGGCACCAGCTGGTGTAGGCCAGACGATGCCTGCAGAATGCACTCTAACGACACCCATCAACATCACATTGGCGCAGGCAGAGGGAGACTAGTGGTCTTCTCACGCATCTTCTCATTTTGCTGCTCAGGGCTGGAGGAGAGGGAGCTGGCTGTCTTGTTGGGGTCTGGGTGGTGGGTCGCTTTGCTCTGTCTACTCATCATTACCCCAGTAAGAATGGGACCAGCTCTTGTATCTGGGAATGGTTGTGCTCTCTGCATAGCAGTACCAGGACCAGAGCGTGTAGGGTGTGTATGAGGGGCGTGAGTGAGTGTATGATGTACAATTTTGGGTGTCTTTAGATTGAACATGCTTATGTGTGAGCATGTGGGTGGCAGTGTGTGACAGTATCTGTCAGGTAGGGACTCAGACATTAATTTGGACTGCCGGAAAAGACACAGGAAGAAAACAAAGCTAACCAAACAACAGCTGAGACCAATGTTAAAGCTCTATCTTAGAGTAGAAAAAATAACTATCAGTGAAGTAACCAAGGGGACATTCTGGTCTGAATTTTATGAAGCTAACATGGAAGTGACAAAAATTGCAGTTCCAGCCTCTTCCGCTAGGGGCATGCACCAAAACAGAGCCAGTTCTCATTTACTCAGGTCTTTGCTTTTTGGCTGAAACTGTATGGATGGATGGTTTCAACCATGTTCCAACTGTAACAGCCCCACACCTCAGCCCCACCTGTGTTCCCTTTTTGTGATTGACTAGGCGTGACGAGATCTGTGACACGGCCAAAACGGCGGTGGTGAGAACCTCACACTTGCCTTCAAAGCTGCCCCCCACACAGCAATGGGCGGGGTATGTTCATCCTTTTTATATGTCGATGGTGTTAACCTAAAGCTTACTAACACAGGAAAGTGTTTGGGATATGTTTTGTCCTTTTCAACTATCTCACTTTTTAATCAGCTTTTTGAACACCAGATTAGGGAGATCCTTCGTTCTCATTTGAGCCAATGGCCTGTCTCAGTGGAGCCAGGTAGAAAGTAGATTTGGACCCTTACTCTAATCCTTGCATCAAACCAGCCTTTAAAACAACTCTAACATGTCCAGAAAGATTATCTGAATAATCATTCCGTCTTAATTTCAAACAAATTAAATTTTATTTCCAACCTATGTCCACTGAACTTGGACAAGGACAAAAGGCTTTTTATTGCTAATTTAAATGTGACAATAAATCCTGACCACAGCTTTACTGACATCACACAAAAAACAGCTGAAATGATTCTTGTGAAAGTTTGGAATAAAACACGACATTGTAGCTTTATGACGAGCATCTGTCATGGTGGACCAAGTGTGGCGGAGGGTTCCAGGAGGCAGAAGAGCAGGCACGGATGAAATAAAAATGGATTTAATAGCAACGGGAGCGACAGGACCAAACGAGACATGCACATACAATGATCCGACAAAGGACAGGAGCAAAACCGGTGGAATAAATACACAAGGCTAATTAGGAAAACATGGGCAGGTTAACGAGGGACAGGTGAGAACAATATGGACCAATCAGGGCAGGAGAGAGACACAGTCAGGAGGGCAGGGGCAGATCGTGACAGCATCATGTGCAGTCAAAGACGGTGTCTCCATCACACTAATGTTACTCCTATGATCTGGTTACGTATTTAGTTTCCATTTGCTACTGCTTTAAAAAACATTTAATTTGAAGGTCTACTAAAATAGTACAGCAAGTTTTGATCTCACTTCCTAAATCACAATCTGTCATTTGGGCTCTGAAGTCTGTGCTGAAACAGGGAAAGAGGCATTTAAAGACTCCAGACGATGGAATAAGATACATCCTGATCTCGGTGGCTGTCTTACTCCGGACATTTAAGGAAACTTTAAAGGAGTTTGAAGAAGGCACATCTGTTTGTCCGTGACCAAAGAAATACGCAGATGTTTTGTGCTTCGTTGGTTAACCTCACTGAGGTCTAGCCGGAACATTTAAGAAAGGCTGAACAGTTTATGGCTGCACCTGTTTTCCTCCTTTGTTCTCAGCCGTTCTAGCGATACACCCCCAGAATAACCAGGTTGTTGTTTCTAACACTTTCTGTTGGATCGTCAAGGTTCTGTTCACAATTTGAATTTTTTTAGATAAAGTGCTGTTCCGGCGTTCCGGAGGTCAGAGAGCTCATTTGCATCATTAAAATGGAAATCACTTCGGTAGAACCTGTCCGATAACAGGAAGAAAGCCAAAGAGGTCTAAGAAAGCAACAATGTGCCCCGTCCTAGAAAGGTGCAAGAACACAGTTTATTTAATCGTCGCCACCTATCCAGGATCAAGCAGCCAGTGTCGTGAGCTCATTTGAAGATGGTAGGGGTAGTGTACCAAAAAGCCGAGTATTTCCTCCATCTCAATGACTCCAAAACTGACTTAATCGTTTTCAGTCCTAACAGTATCACGGCTACTCAACAACCTGACCTCAACTATCTCTCACCTAATGTATCCTCTGTAATCTCCAACCTTGGAGTAAAAATGGACCAGGCTCTGAAGATGGATGCCCAGGTCAATAACACAGTTGAATCATGTTTTTACCAACTAAGACGCATCTCAAAACTAAAGCACATCCTGAGTGTACGTCTTCTGAAATCTGTGGTCCACACTTTCATCACTTCAAGGCTGGATTACTCTAAATCCTGCTTATACGGCATCAGTAAAGCAGCTCTTTCTAGACTTCAGCTGGTCCAGAATTCAGCAGCTAGGTTGCTGACTGGAGCTGACAGAAGACAACACATTTCTCCAATTCTGAAATCTCTCCACTGGTTGCCCGTGCAGTTCAGGATAAACTTCAAAATTATGCTTCTCGCTTACAAATCCTTGAACCATCAAGCTCCTCCATATCTGTGTGAACTTGTCCATTACTACAACCCGCCGCGTGCTCTCAGGTCTGAAGATAAGCTCCTCCTAGCTGTTCCCAATGCACGTTTAAAAAGCCGTGGAGAGAGGGCTTTCTCTGTCTGTGCACCCAAGCTGTGGAACGCATTACCACTGCTAGTGAGGCTAGCACCAACAGCTAGCTTTTTTAAATCACGCCTGAAAACTCACTACTTCAACCTAGCTTATACAACATAATTATGAACCTCACTGACATCTGCACTGTTTAAAAATGGACTTCACAATTATCGACTTCCGTATTATTGAGGTTCTTTGTAAAATATTTTTTTTCCTATTTTTATTCACCCTGTGTCTTATTGATTTTTAGCTGTTACTTTTGGGAATTTTGTTGTATTTCCTTTTTATCTTTTATCTGTGTTCGACATGTTTGTATAACGCCGGTTTAATTAACCAACATTTTTAGTGTACAGTGCCTTGTTTGGTTGTAATGCCTTGTGAATGCGCTTTATAAATAAAATTGGATTGGATTTCATCCCTGGTGAGTCCAGGGAGGTAAGTCTTAACTTGGTAGGTGCAGGGAAAAGACTTACAGGAGATGAGGGGAAGCTCGGGAATGAGGGAGGGCAGGTTGAGAGCCGGGATGTATCCAAGTGTGGGGGTCCAGGAGAGGTAGCGTGAGGTGAGCAGGAGAACGGGTCGGTCAGGACTCGAGGAATGGAGAATGGTTCAGAGCTGTGTCCAGAAATCCCATGGGCACGAGAGAGTAATCCTGAGGCGTCGCTGAATCCAGGGACGTTCCAAAAACCTGGAGGCAGGTAATCACAAGATCCAAAAGTCACAAGAGTTCAAAAACCACTAGAAAATCCAAACCAAGTCACTAGGAGGGCTGGAAACTACCAAGCTGTAGTAATCATCCGGCGTCGAGGCGTGTTCTCCATCCTCCTTAAATAGCAGAACCCGCTGATTGCAAACCAGGTGCAGCTGAGAACCTCCCCCTCCTGCAACACACAACTCAAAGGTGGAATATTGAGAGGAGTTCTCACACCGGCTCACGACAGTGTCCTGTACGGTACATTAATGAATGATGGGTTATAATGAATATTTCTCCTGTAATGATTCATTTCAGATCTTAAATTACACCAGATCAGTAGTGTTGATTCTAGTAATTTAATCTATTAATATGAACACAATAATATCATAATATTATTATTATTAATGTTTAACACCTTCACTCCACACTAAGAGTTAACCTCTAAGCATCTGAGTGAGGGAGTGAATCTCTGAGGTCTTTGGTAACGCCCTTTAAACTTGTCAAATTCTGATTTGTCTAAATTTGTCAACAACATTTAATAAACACAAGGATCACTTCCTGATCTAGTCACACACGGGTATCAAAAGGCACTTTTCGACTGCGTAGGTCCCGTAGGAACCTTTTCAGATTGCGTTTGCACAGCGCTCAGGAACCTTTTGGAGGCGGGCATGACGAAAGCGCCTGCGACAGTGTGACGTGTTAATTAGGAGCCGGAATTACAACAACAGAAGCTAAGCTCACGGCTAAGCTAACGGGGCTCAGGAGGCAACTGTGCTCATTACCTGCTTTATGAGACTTAAAATCTCAGGTATCACCTCGACATCCACAGCCATGTTGGACGTTTGGCAGAGAGAACATGCGTGGAGACATGAATTCACACTATTAAAGATAAAATGTTCCTTTGGAAGTTGTCGCACTGTTCAAAGTGATGTCTTTATGCTAAACAAATATCCCATTACCTGACTCTAAGCTTTGTGTGAGTATTGAAGTCACTAGGAAACCTGCAGCAAGCCTCTGAGATGACAGAGCATCACTGAAGGTGTCATCTGCGACTGATGGGTTAGAAAAAGGACGAGACTTTCTAAAACGTGTCACATGTGAGGTTAAAACGTAGAAAGTAATGTGTGTGTGTGTGTGTGTGTGTGTGTGTGTGTGTGTGTGTGTGTGTGTGTGTGTGTGTGTGTGTGTGTGTGTCTTCTCCATCCCCAGTGAGTCGTGGAGGATGGCTGCTTATACTGAGCCAGGATTCTCTGGAGGTTTCTTCCTGTTAAAAGGGAGTTTTCCTCTCCACTGTCGCTGCATGCGTGCTTAGTATTGACCCTTTGCACCGACGTCACCTAACTACGTGGGTCCACCATGGTGGACGGCAAAAGCATGTAAACAGCGAGCGACACGATATAAACAAAGGGAAAAGTAGAGCCTGAAATTGTTTTTGCGATCAAAACAAAAACAAAACTCCTCCAGCATTCCTTCCACTAGTTCATGCCCAGTTCAGTTATCAGAGGAAGTCGCGCATCTAGCGGGGCTCATAGAGAGCGGTATGCTAACTAGCTTACCAACGTTAGCTTACGTTCTCTCTGCAGCTGTTCACCGATGTAAACATGTTGCTGACTTTGCCTAAATTCACCCCTCTGGGTTTATAACTTTGTTATAAACAGCGTTTCACTTTACACCAAAGCTGATTGTTAAAAAGTCCGGATCCCTACCAGCTTCTGCTGCTGGTGGTGTTACCGGGTTCAGCTGCTGCTCTCACACCGGAATGAGAAGCTCTCTGAACGCCGACGCTCATATAAATAAATAATGTAATTTTAACACATGTAATCATACATCGGAGCTTTAATATTGTTAATAATAATTATCTCGCTTTACACTACAGTGGACGGAGCGCAGCCTCAATGGTGAAATACCCGTCCATCAGGATTATCAGTAACTAGTATAAACACACCACATTTATTCCTGTCCCTGTCTTCCTCCTGAAATAAATGAACGTTAATCTTACCCGCTAAAAACACGCTCGCTGCTAATCTGAGGCCTGCTAGTCCGCTTGATTGATCTCTGCAGTTCATCTCCGTCCTCAGTCTCCATCAAAGTTATTAAGAAGAAAAAAACGAGTTGAGTTTACGTCCTCGTCTGTTAGTGCAGCCGACCACGCAGCAAGCTAAAAGCATTTTACTGTCAAATCAACTCAATAAAAGCCATAAAAGGCTACAAACTGGCTTGTTTTGACTAGCTTCACTGGAGTTTCTACGGGTGTAAACGGTCTTTTTGCCGTCCATCATGGCGAAGGCGGCGGTCACATGAGTGGCGTGACGTCACATGCAAAGGTTCAATGAGGATTGCTGTAAAGACTCTGACACTCGTCAGTGACTCGATCCAACCTGCTGGGTTCTTTATATAGGAAATTTTTTCTAATTGGCTTAATGAATTGACCTGTGAAGTGCCTTGAGATGACTCTTGTCGTGATTTGGCGCTATATAAATAAACTTGAATTGAATTGAACATCAATACTACTACTACTACTACTACTACTATTACAAGTATAGTTGTTGTTGTTGTTATTATTTTGTATTACTATTATTATTATAATGATTATTGTTGTTATAATAAAAATAATGATATTATTATTACTATTATTATTTTTACTAATATTATTGATTACTGTTCTTGTGTTCTGATGGGGGCGCACCATCATCCCCACTACCCCAGAATCCCTCGCTCCGGCCCTGTCGGGCCTGTTCGCGTCATTGCGTCCAGTCAGCCCAGTTTGTCTCCGAGGACAGGAGGACACCGGTGGGAGACTGTTGACAGCTGGACCTCCTCTCTGCACCCATGCAGGGGGAACCGGGCCCGTCTCACCGGATCAACGAGAGTTAGGTGTCGTGGCCCACAGCACCGCACAGCAGGTCCGCCTCCCTCTGTCTCCCCCTCCTCCCATCCTGTCTCGCTCCCTCTCCCCCTCCGAATGAAACCGACGCTTTCCGCGAATGTGCGAGCTGCCTCCTTGCAAGCAGCCAGAATTGGGATTATTCAGGAATAATTCGCCCGATCCTGCTGCGCTGGTTGTTTCCCGTTGTGTTTGTTTCTCTGCTGAACGCGACCACGACCGCGTCCGCGAGCTGGATCTGCCGGGGCTTTTATTCCATCTGTCATGGAGGAGGCTTTTCCTGAGGAGGACCATTAAGATGTAGTCCACCTTCGCAGGGAGCAAAACAAAGACTGCATAGTGACAGTTCGGGGTAAATGCATGGCGCTGGGTGTTTTGGGGAGGGGGGCTGAAGGATGGGAAACAGAGCCGTACCGAGGCTGCTGTCTGTCCTGGTGCCACTAGCCATTGTGCTCGCCAAGACCATTCATTTAGGGCATCTGCGATCCCTTCTCCGCTCTCTAACGACTCTGGGTGGGTTTTTGTAAGCCTTGAAAATCCGACATCACTTGGATTAGAGGAGAGGAAAATATCAGATTGATGTTTGTGATCGCGCTTGATTCCAGCCCCCGGGAGTCTGGTGGTCCTCGACGTGCTGCAACATAAAATCTGTTTTCTCAGATGATATTCAAATGAAGGGAAGCGGCAGAAGGGTGGCGGTGGATCTGTCTTCTCCTGACACATTTCTGCTAAATGTGACTCAACAGCAGAGCCCTCGTCCTGGACTGTTTGATCAGCTGTTGATTATTCGACAGCCCGAGCCGTCTCATGTTTGTTACATGTTCTTCGTCTGTTCGATCGCCTCTGCGATGGATTTATGCATAACAGGTGTTGTTTGAGCCCGAGAGAGCAGGAAGCTTTATTATGTGTCTTTCTGTCCATCTAACCAGCGGTGAGACGAAGCCTCTGGGAGCACTTCCTTTGTTTTTTTGCAGAGACCAAAAACATGAGGGGATGAAAGGTAGGTCTGTCATCCATCTCTGGCTTCATTTTTCACTCTCTCACACACACACACCCATAGAGGTGATTCTGACACCTGTTTGGTTTTCACCCCACCCCTGGGTTTCAGGCCTAGCTGACATGGCAGCCGTTTAATCGGGTGAAATGATATTCGTCAAGTTTGCAGCGGGGTGTTGGATCGCGCTGCAGAACGAACAGATCACAGTCACAGGGGATGGTTTTGCGTTCCCGGCCTACATTGACAAGGCCCAGCCCAGAGCAGCATCCCTCTGCTTCGTTATCACCCCACACCCTTAAAACGAGTCTCCGAGAGTCAAATCTGGTTTGCTCTTTTGTTTGTGCTTGCCGTCGCTCTCTTTGAGCTCGTATAAGGGCTATGGCTTTAACCACCGATTCTGCCAGCAATGAATAAAGTCTCTGTTTCATTCTCCTTTTGAGCAAACGGGCCTTTTTCACGCAGACGCAAGGTGAAAAAAAGAAAAGGATTGGCCTGCTCTGATGTTTTATTCTGGATTTTTTCTTGCGGTGCCATGAATGGCACAGATTACACCCCCTGCTTTTCAACTGGCTGTCACGCACGTGCAGGGGAGCAGAAGGAAAGCATAAAATGTTCTTTGCACATTTACAACATCTCCGTTTGTTGGACATGCCCAGTGTTGGTTATGCTGTGTCTGCTCCACCCCCCCCCCCACACCCTGTACACCCCCATGCATTCACTCAAACACCCACACTTGCACAAAGTATGTGAGCTCTAGTATCTTAGCAACGGGCTAGGTAATTACTGAGAGAGCCAAGGAGCTGGCGTGCTGTAGAGCTGCTGATCGGATCCCAGCGTTAGAGAAACAGGAAGGCAGAGATTTGAGCTGTGTTGTCCAACACGACACGTCCACACCCACGCTGTCTTAAGTTTTTGTAGCTACCCAGTGCTTTAACAGTCAGCTCAGACATCTTTTTTTTCTGTCTGATAAATGTGTGTCTCTGTTCACAGGTGGTGAGACTGTGGGCAAAGAGGGAAGATGATTCTTTCGTGTGGAAAAGATCCGTGCCGCCTCTCGTTGTAAAGACCAGGGAGCTGTGGGAGACGACGGCTGTAGGAGGATCGCGACTGCGTTTAAAGGGCCCGCTTCAGGCAGGCTCTCCCGTGGGAGCTGATAGAATGGCTAACCAGAGCTTTGCCATCGACGGCCCGGGCAGTTTACTGGCTGTGCTGGCCTCCCAGAGCGGACTGGCAAAGGGTGGCAGCAGCAGCCTCGTTGATAGCAGCGCTGGAGGGATCTCTGCCACGGATGTGTCTGCCTACTTTAAGCTGGTCTTCTTGGGCTTGATCATCTGTGTCAGCCTTGTAGGAAACCTCTTGGTGTCCATGCTGGTGCTGAGAGACAGGACACTTCACAAGGCTCCCTATTTCTTTCTTTTGGACCTGTGCCTGGCCGATGCAGTTCGCTCTGCTGCCTGCTTCCCCTTCGTGCTGGTTTCTGTCCACAACAGCTCGGCCTGGACTTACAGTGCCTTGAGTTGTAAAGTTGTAGCTTTCATGGCTGTCCTGTTTTGTTTTCACGCTGCCTTCATGCTGTTCTGCGTGGCTGTCACCCGCTACCTTGCCATCGCCCACCACCGTTTCTATGCCAAACGCATGACCATCTGGACCTGTGCCGCCATCATTTGCATGGTGTGGACTCTGGCAGTCGCCATGGCGTTCCCGCCCGTCTTCGATGTGGGGACTTACAAGTTCATCCGTGACGAAGATCAGTGCATTTTTGAACACCGCTACCTGAAGACCAACGACACCCTGGGCTTCATGCTCATGCTGGCCGTGGTGGTCCTGGCCACTCACGGCTTCTACGCCAAGCTCCTGCTCTTTGAGTACAGACACCGCAAAATGAAACCTGTCCAACTGGTGCCGGCCATCAGCCAGAACTGGACCTTCCACGGTCCTGGGGCCACAGGTCAAGCTGCAGCCAACTGGATTGCAGGGTTTGGTCGCGGCCCCATGCCGCCCACTCTGTTGGGTATTAGGCAGAATTTACACAATCAGCACCGGCGGCTGCTGGGTATGGAGGAAGTGAGGTCAGAGAGGAGGCTGGGCAGGATGTTCTACACCATCACTCTGCTTTTCCTCGTCCTCTGGGCGCCCTACATTGTGGCGTGCTTCTGGAGGGTCTTTGTGAAGTCCTGCACCATGCCCCACAGGTACCTGTCCATCACAGTGTGGATGAGCTTCGCCCAGGCCGGTGTCAACCCCATCTTCTGTCTCCTGCTTAACGAGGACCTGAGGAAAGTGCTGAGGGCTCACCTGCCTACTTACTGGAGGACTAAACAACACCTGCCCCAGGATGAGGCCTACTGCATCATGTGAGGGGAAAATGGGTTAATGCAAGGAGTGTTTCAGGCTTTACAACAAGATTTAGGGCAGAAGTGTATCGTTGCACTCGGATTAAACGTTGGTGTCTGTTTTGTTGTTTTGCACAACAAAATTAAAATCCTGCTAACAAATTCAGACGCAGCGTTTGAAAAAATATTTATACTTGACCAATAAATGGTGCGGTGCGAAAATTTGAGCAGGGCAGCAGAGAAAAGAAATGAGAGATCACAAAAACCAACGCTGGTAATGAGGGATAGACCGGAGAGACCACAATAACCACCACCCCAGTTAAGCATGACAGGTGCCATTTCAAAATAACGATGCCTTATTTCAGACGGACACGCTGCCGAGCTTTCAGCTGAGAACTGGTTTTGTGAGGCACCGAGCCGAAGCGGACCTTAAAGAAATGCGCCGTGGACTGTGAGTGGAAGGGGCTGATCAGAGCGTCTCTAACTCGGAAACACGTCAGAGAACTCAAAGGGTCTGAACGGAGCGACGGACCACTCCGGACACCTTTTCGTGTAATTCAAAGGAAACTTGCAGAATATTAAGCGGACCCAATAACCTTGGACACATTTAAACAGCTGTTGTGAACCCAGAAGCCCCTAACATGCTTGATTTTTTTGGACTTTTAGGGCGAGTCAGGTTTCTTTGTATCATAAAAGAAAAAAAAAGAATTGCCTGTTTTGCTTTATTTGTAAACTATACATGTTAAGCAGATGGCACTATTTTGAAATATGACTTGATTTCATATTGTATAGACTGTAGAGGAATGGCCATTCCTGCTTGTGTGTTTTTATAAAGCAATCGTGTGTGTGTGTGTGTGTGTGTGCGCGTGTGAGCGGGGGTGGGGTGGGTGGGGGTGGGGGGGCTGAATAAGTTTCAGTGAGTCAAAATGAAAGAAACCACATTTTGTTTCACGATCCTGCTAAATTGGGAAATCATCATGTGGAATTTTATTCTTTAAATAGATTTCTGCAGCTGAAAATGTGGTTTGTTGTTTTTGTTTAAAGCTGACGTGCAAGTAAATGTGAAATGTAGAAGGGTGATGGTAACAATGGGACAGGTTCATTTGTATATTGCAAACAGGCCATAGATAATAATGACTTGAATATTGATGTATGTGTATTACATCAAATGAAGGAAAGAGAATGAGAAAATGTACATTTTTTTTGCAAACGAAGCTCTTGGGAATGTTTCAAAAATGCTGAACTGTTTCCGTGTGCTTTTACCAGAATGCACCTTTAAAGAGGAAGTGATGCGTCCCCATATTGGGAAGGAAATTTGAATGTCAACTTGACCCTCTTTATATTACTGCTCAATTAAAAATGTTGCCATGCGAGTCTGGATCACAGGATGTTTTTCAAATCTTAAGCAACTTCGCGGAATTGTTTCTCCAAATTAAGATTCGTGTGATGCAAATGTCCGACCTTCGGTGCGTTAGGCATAGATTTCTACGTGCGGTCGGTTTTTCTCTGTGTGGACACTTGCACAGCATACTGTTCTAGCATGCATTCCACTGCGTTTCATAGAGTCCAGACCGGCTTCTGCAACTTGTACAGATGTGGATGTGGACGGATGGAAGTGAAGAAGTGAACAGAGGTCCATAATTTTTATGTCTGGCATTCCTTGGCGAGATGATATTCTGTAACTGTACAGTTTTCCTGAGGTGGTTCTTTTGCCCACTCATCAATAAAGACTCTACTTTTGATGCATTCTGAGTTCTGACCTGACTGGACCGCGGCGTGGAGGTGGGAGGAGTTTCGGGAACAGCACGTCTCACGAGTTAGACCTGATTATAGTTCCTGTAAGTCTACCGAAGAGCTGCATCTGTGACGCACAAACCCGTCAGAGGGTGTGACTCTTTACATCAGTGGAAAAGGTTTCAAGCATGATTTAAAAAGAGTGTTTTAGTGTGTTCACCTTATAAATATTTACTGTCCCTGTTGGAGATAGCTCCCTGAACAGGGGACTGATAAGCTAACAGCTAGTCGAACTAAAGCATTTTGCTGCCATTTTAAAATAGCTTTAACCGCCTGAATTTGGCAGTGATTCATACAATTACACCACGGCCATCACTTTTCACATCAGGTTGTTTTGGTTGAAGTATTAGGAACTTCTTGTGTATCTAAGGTAGCGCTTCGCTGAGTCGCTGCGTGATACTTGTGCTTGTAAATCACCAGAAAAACCCACATAACTATGGAATGTGAAACAGATTTATAAAATGTGGTTTTCTATGTTGGGGTCTGATGCTAAATAGTAGGATCTAACTCCTCCAGGTATTTTAGAAACAAATGTCCCCCATTAGTCTGCAACTCCTGTCCTCACACAAGCGGATTCAATGCAAGCTGTGGAGCTTTTGATGATGATGCACCTAATGGTGAAGAGGGGATATTTCAGTGGGTTTAAGAGAATAATAATGATAAAGATATTGTCAGAAATGGAGAAAAATGTGTTAAAAGATCATTGGAGTCATGTAGATGGATAAACACAACTCGTTCACACGCTGCAATATGTGAGTAACCAGTAGGGGGAGTTGTTAAAACAAGGGAGACACCGTCGCAGTCGTCACCCCGTCTCTGGCTTAGAGGTCGTACAAACAGAAACAGCTGCCGTCTTTTTTCTGTTATGACCTCAAAATTAAGCAGCTGCTGATCCCATCTACTGACGCCATGTTGTTTTATTCGTATACCTGAGTTCTGTACTGCACCCCTAGTGGAATCCTCCAGTACTACGTTGAGTACAGCAGTAATACGCGAACGAGACCCCGCTACTGGCGTCAACCGGAGGTTAAAAGAGAGATTGTTCCCAGCCTCAGTCAGAGGGTCATGAGCGATACCCAGACTCAAACTGTAAAATAAATCCTCACATGTAATTAATTCAAATGTAAAAAAAAAAAAAAAACATTTTAAACTGTATTTTTGTTATTTCCCAGGTTATTTAGCTTTGTAGTTTACTTCATACGCGTTTAAAAACATGACCGTTTAGAGATTTCAGCATTTGGCCTTGGCTGCTTTTTAGCCGCTGGCTCATCAGTCGTGTAGAGTGTAAACTTTATTTCTCTGAACTGAAGATGTTCAGCATCTGCATCCGGTAGGAGAGTAAATATTTATAACTTTTACACTGGAGCACACTTCACAACGGCCCTTTTATCATCTTCAGGCTGAGGCTCGCACGGACGAAACTGTGCAGCAGTAAAATCTTCGTAGAGATCTCTGTGCTGTGCAGAAGTCAGGACAGCACAAAGTCAACAGACCGTTTCTTTTCTCCTCAAGAGGAAAGCGGTTACTTCTCCTCACTTACAGCTTTATTTCAGGTGAAAGTAAAGATTATGCAAACTTTCACATCAAACCGACTGACTTAAAGACAAAACCAGGAAAAACCAAGCTACCAGTCGGGTTGCAGCAGCTGCAAAAATGTGGCCGAGATCAGGAAAATGCATTTAGACTTAAAAACAAACAGCAAGTCAGATTCAGTTAAGATGGAATTGGGGTTTTAATTGATCTGGAAGATACATATTGATGAGAATATCGCTAATGTGAAGGATGTAGATTGTGATTTCCAACTTCCATCACTAAGTGGTGACGGGATCAGGAGTCCTCAGGTTCTCCAGAGATGTCAAACAAAGTCTCCAATGTGTCCAGAAATACTCACACCCCTCCACGCTAAAACAGTTAGAAAACCGGTTCCCACATGCTGCTGCCTTATGGGACATCTATGCTTTACGTTAAGATGGAATGGATAGGATGGGAGGAAACACAATGCTTCTATCTTAACTAGAGCCTGACTGAAATCCGGCCGCTGGATGGTCGTGGAACCTCTCAGAAGAACCAAACAACAACAATCATGTTATATTTTGAATTTGAATGAGATCATTTTCCATTGTGTGCACTAGTGCACTCAGACTGTGCATGTCGGAGATGCTCCCATTGTGAACAGCAGCAGCATCATCCGTGAGCACATCCTCTAAATATTCCTCCTTTGACAGGTTGCATCACCTCTCTGTCTCCTCAGAACTGATGCTGAAGCCTCATCCGACGACTTATTTTTAGTTCCCTTCCCACCTCTCTCCAAGACACACCACAACAACGCCGTCTTACTCATTTGTGAGAGCTCAGCTGCTGTAGATGTGAAGGGTGCACAGAGAACATGTTTTTGTTGGCCTCGTGTGCCGGGTTTCCTTCCTTTACTGGACATGTGCTGACAGTTTAAAGTAAGGCCCCGTCCTGGCCTTCACCGTTTCCCTCCCGCACACCTGCGTACATGCCACACAGCTAATCAGCCTTCAGCAGCCTCATGCATGCATGCATGCCTTCATGAAGCGTTACAGAGACACCCCCACAAGATTTAAATGATCTCTTTCTCCTGCACAGGTGTGACGCAAACAGGGTGAATAAGCGGTGAAATAATCTGACAACCCTGCTCTGAATCACCCACACCACCATCCTCAGCTGCTTTTTGATCCACGTCAGTGACTTCCAGTTGTCACTACATCTAATATCTCAACAGGCAGATTTGATATAAATCGGACAATAATTTCAATGAAACATGTTTAGATGGCCAGACCAGACGTGTTCAGTGGTTAGATACAAATATCTGTAAGGAGGGTTTTTAGAAGAAAAGCTGCTCAGTTCATTTAAATTAAAATTCCTAATCTGACTGGGCTGGAAAACATAAGCAGGATAAATAAATAAATAATGTTTTAGATATATTACAAGGTAGATTTCTAATTTTATTACATCACTGTCACCATTTTTTTTACATTGGTCTGATAAACAATCCATCCATCCCTTTTCGTCCGCTTATCTGGAGTCGGGTCGCGGGGGAAGCAGCCAAAGCAGAGAGACTTCCCTCTCTGAAAGCGTTCCTTGGCCATCTGAGAAGCATGTCCAGCGTGTCCTGGGGGCTCCTTTGGATCTCATTACTCTCCAGGAGGAATCTTAGCCAGATGCCCGAGCCACCCCGACTGGCTCCTCTTGACATGGAGGAGCAGTGGATCTATTACGAGCCCCTCCCGAATGATCAAGCTTCTCACCCTATCTCTAAGGGAGAGCCCAGACAGCCTGTGGAGAAAACTCATCTTGGCCGCTTGTATTCACGATCTCGTTCTTTTCTGACTCAACTCAACCTTTATTTAAATAACTCTTTACAAACAAAAACAAGCCACCAAAGGGCTTCACAGACACAAGCAAAAACACATAAAATCCTGCATGAGTTCACTAAAGCTACACAAGCAAATAAAGCCATAAAATAAAAATTAAATAGCAGCGTTCTTTCGGTCACTACCCAAAGCTCGTGACCATAGGTGAGGGTAGGAACGTAGATCGACCGGTAAATCGAGAGCTTCGCCTTCTGACTCAGCTCTCTCTTCACCACGACAGACCGGTACAACGCCCGCATCACTGCAGACGCAGCACCAATCCACCTATCGATCTCACGCTCCAGTTTCTCCTCACTCGTGAACAAGACCCCGAGATACTTAAACTCCTCCACTTGGGGCAGGACCTCATCCCTGACCCGGAGAAGGCTTTCTACCCTTTTCTGACTCAAGACCATGGTCTCAGATTTAGAGGAGCTGATTCTCATCCCAGCTGCTTCACACTCGGCTGCAAACCGCTCCAGCGAAAGCTGAAGATCACGTTCTGATGAAGCCAACAGGACCACATCATCTGCAAAAAGCAGAGAGCTGATCCTCAAGTCACCAAAATGGATGCCCTCCACACCTTGGCTGCGCCTAGAAATCCTGTCCATAAAGGTTATGAACAGAATTGGTGACAAAGGGCAGCCTTGGCGGAGTCCAACTCTCACTGGGAACGAGCCCGACTTACTGCCGGTAACGCGGACCGAGCTCTGACACCGGTCCTACAGGGACCTAACAGCCTGGGCCGTATCAAATGGCTCCACTCCAGGAAGCTGTACACGTTGCAGCTAATGGGGATTGAAATACACGATAAGGACCGGGTACCCCATACTTCAGAAGTACCCCCCAAAGGGCTTCCTGAGGAATGCGGTCAAACTCCATCTCCAAATCCACAAACACATGTAGATTGGTTGTGTGAACAACCACGCACCCTCCAGGACCCCCCCTAAGGGTATAGAGCTGGTCCAGTGTTCCACGGCCAGGACGAGAAACACATTACTCCTCCTGAATCTGAGGTTCGACAATCTGATGGACCCTCCTCTCTAGAACCCATGAATAGACTTTCCCAGGGAGGCTCAGGAGTGTGATCACCCTGTAGTTGGAACACACCCTTTAAATAGACAGAGACCGCAACCCTGATCTGCCAGTCCAGTGGAACTGCCCCCTGATGCCACGCGATATTGCAGAGCCGCATCAACCAGCACAGCCCTATGGCATCTGCCTATGAACTCGGGGCGGATCCCATCCACCCCGAAGTCTTGCCACTGAAGAGAATTTTGACCACCTCAGTGATTGGAGAACGCAACTAAAAGACCCCAAACTCTGCTTCCTCACTGGAATGTGCCGGTGGGATTGTGGTACTCTGCCCACCAATCCACAACGCCCCAAGCAGCATGCCATCACCACTATAAACAGTGTTGGTAGTGCACTGCTTTCACCTCCTGAAGATGGTGGACCAGAATCCAATCAAAGCCTTACTGAGGTCTTGCTCCATGGTCACGCCAAACTCCTCCCAAACCGGATAGGACTCTTTCTTCAGCCATCACTAACAGCCTGTGTCCACTAGTGGGTTTGGAGGTTGCCATGACAGACACCAATGACCAAACTCTGGATGGCCACCTTGAGTGGAGTGTAGCCTCTGGAAATGGTCTGTTTTTCCATCTGCAGGTCACCTCTTCAGTATCGGGTCACATGGAGACATAAGTCTTAACTGGTGCTTTAATCTGCAAGAAAGATACTGTGCTTCCCCAAGGTCTCTCCGAGCTCCCTCTTATCTAAGACTGGTTTTTATTCACAGCACAAGACGGATGAACTTTCAAAATTCAATCATATAATGAATAAGATGAGTAAATAATCATATGGTTGAATGAACAATAATGGTTGATGAATAATAACAATGTTTTGATTAATCTGTGTTTAAATTACTGAGGTTGAAATGAATATTGTCATGTTATGATCAGTGAAGATAGATTTAACAAGTGAATCACTTTCTTCTGACAGCTCACACACTCACACACATGATGATGACAAGGTTAAGCTAATATCCTGACACATTGCTTTCTGTTCCACCAATCAGAACTCCTGTATCTGACGCGAGGCGTGTTTTCTGAGGTTTGTTAGTAAAAACCCTTTTTACACGTCAAATTCTGATTTGTTAGTAAATCAAAATATGACGATCATTAAAACAGAGCTCACTTCACCGTGAGTCAGTTCTTGAGAAAGCTTCGGACCGGCCATCCGGAGCAAAACCTCTTTAACCCAGAGCACCTTTTGACAAGCTGTCAAAAACCTGCTGCACGCGACAGCTAACCGCAAACGGTTCCTCCAGAACAAAGCTGAACCGACTTCAACTCCTTCAGTTATTCCTAAGACGCAAATAACAACTGTCGTGACCTGGAGACATCCCGAGACCCGTCTAGTCGGCACTGCGGTTGCTTCTACGGACTTCGGTACCTCTGGTGTCCCCGGACCTCAACGCATTCCGGATCTACCACGGGGGTCTTCGATCAGGGTACGTAGACTCGACGGATTGCGTCTGATGTGTTTTTGATAAGAACCAACTTTGTTAGTCTATAGCAGACCAAATTCACTCCCACTCAGAACTCATAACATCACATTCACACATCTTCACACCTCACATTCCATCCACTCAGATCCAGTCACCACATAAAGTGGTCCCTAGTTGTCATGTTTTTAATTGTTTAGAAAATAAATTCTTACTTTTTATAAACCTGACTCTCGTCTTGAATTAATACGAAGTGTCTTACAATCCCTGAATACACAAGTAATTCTAAATCTTCTGGTTAAACATTCAAAGATCAATCAGGTTGGCATTTCCGTATTTATATAGAAATTCATATCATATTGGTCAAAGTGTAGGGTAGCATATCAAGCTTTAAAAGCACCCAAATACATACGTATGTTACTCTCCTACAAGAGGCACAGAACACACACGGCCCACTTGGACTCAAGGTTCTCCACCTACCCCAGAACATTTTGGAAGTTCTGTTAGAGGTGGGAATTGAAGCTCCTTCACACAGGAGACTCTGCCAGACATTCCCAGCAGACCCTCACGTTAAATTTGGGCCTCCAAGTTCTGACCGGCATCCTCCCCCACCATTAAAGCCAACTGACCACCAGGTAGTGGTCAGTTGACAGCTCCGCCCCTCTCCACCTGAATGTCCAAGACGTGCAGCCGCACTCTGGTGAAGGAGAGGTAGCCTCCCTCCACCTGTGTAGCGGGACAGGTCCTGACTTGTTTGCGGCCCAAACTACAGGTCGGACTACCCGCCCTTTTTGGAAACCTTGGAGAGAGCGCACCTTCTGAGGACTCCCTCATTCTGTAGGGGGTTAGCTCACGTGGGAAACGACAGTGAGACATGGAGGTGTGCGGTGTGGAGGAACGGCCCCCTGATCTGAATCCGAATGTGCTCGTCTTGGATCGGCCATAATGAACACCATGTTCAGGCATAATGGTGTCCATATGTGCTCTTGGCACCAGGACACCTTAGGTCGCCGCTTGATACCGTCGTCTCATCTGATAAAGTTAAAGTCCCATTAGTTGTCACACACACAGGTGTGTGTGCAAAATTTGTTCTCCGCATTTGACCCATCCCCTGGGGGAGCGGTGAGCTGCAGACACAGCCGCGCTCGGGAACCATTTGGTGGTTTAACCCCCCAATCCAACCCCATAATGCTGAGTGTCAAGCAGGAACTGGGGTCCCATTTTTTCAAAGTCTTCGGTATGACCCGACCAGGAATCAAACCCCTGATCTCCCTGTCTCAGGGCGGACACTCTACCACTAGGCCACTGAGCTGGTAAACAATAAACAATGCAACTGAATTGTATTGTGATGGAAAAGCACAAAATATAAAAAATAATGGAGCTATTTGACTAATTAGTCTGATAAATCGTTTAGTTCAAGTGTACAGTGGATGATAGCCTACAAATACTTTGATCTTCGTCGGTAGAGGAAGCATCATCGTCCAGCGATCCTGAATAACAGCAAATTTGCTTTCATTCCCTCACGTCAAGTGGAACGTTTTAGAACATTTGGACGTTTGAGATCTCTGCAGTTTCTAGTTCAGATCCAGGTTTTTAACGGCCCTCGTGTTGAGGCGGGGGTGTGGTCCCGTGTGAATGCACACAAAGCCCCCAGTGTCTGCTGACCTCCATCGCAAAAGGCAGCTGATTCGATGGAAGCTCATCGCTGTTTGAACAGCTTCACAAATGTGTGGGTACAAAGAAAAACACACGGACAATCACAGCAGTTTATTAGTGTTAAATAAATTACAGGATCTGCAAACAGCATCGACAGGGCACACATGTACAAACACGGAGAAGTGGCGGGATGCCTTTGTGACGGACTCAAATTTCAGGTTCATGCACAGAATCTCAAATGTAAACAGGCAGCAGAGAGCAAACAGGGCTGTTTCACAACACTTGATTACACCGCTTGAATAAGAGTTACATAAATAGTGAACTAGAGCAATGCCAGAGGGAACGTCGGTGCGATACACAGCGTGTGTGTGCTCCTCGGTGAGGTTACGCTGCATCCTCACATTCACACTAGCTGGAGGAAAGCCACGACGCATACGTGACTGTAGAGCTTTTTCTAAAACGCCACTTCTCAGCTGTAGGAGGACTGACGTGCACACACAACCCGCCTCTCACCCCATCCTTTCATCAGTATCACCTACACAAGATGATGTTCTAGTTGATTGCACGTGATCACAACAATAAACAGCCCGTTACGTTCCAGTGGAGATCTACAGATGGTTAAAGAGCAGCAGGCCTTTAAATATGCATATAGGTGGAGGCTTCCTGTTGGCGGACCGCTCACTTCTGCTCGCGCCTCCAGATGATGACCATGCCAGTGGAATCAGCCGATGCCAGCAGACTCTCGTCACAATTAAAACTCACATCTAAAACCGGCCCTCCGTGCCCCTGCAGCTTGTTGACGATGGCCTTGGTGTTGCGTTCCACATCGAAGAAGTAGACACAGGTGTCCTCGCTGCCAGTCACTGAGACACAGTTGAAGGAATGAAACCATGGGGAAAGATGAACAGGGTTTAACACAGTGCTCTTCAACAGTGTCAATGAGCAAAGTACCAAAAGGCAAGCAGTTATGGTGAAAAGTAAACTAAACAAGAGCATAATGAGCTGGGCCACGTTCAAAAACCATTTAAATCTAAACCACACATTAAGTCATCATTAATAGGGATGGGTACCGAATTCGGTACTCTTTAAAGTACCGACCGAGCACCGATTCATGTCATTTCAAACGGCGCCTCGTTTCGGTACCCGTCCTTCATAACGAGAACTTGCCTAGACAGCTGCGCATGCGCAAGAGCGTTATGTCGTCGGTCGCTGCGAGCCAGTTGTAAACAGAGCAGCATGGTAGAAAGAACGCACGCTAACGCTTGGGTCCACTTCACTAAATGTGACGGGTAACTGGGTGATGATGAAACCAGCGACAACGATCCAAGTGAGACATCCTCATCTTAATCTGCTCCGGTAGGTAAATATAATTAGCTTGATATGTTAGCTTCCGTTTCGCTAATGGTGCGTTCGCTTTCTCCTCTGAACTCCGAATTCCCGACTAGAAGAACATGAACGCTCTCTAAGTTTGGGTGAAGATGAAACCAGCGACAACGATCTAAGTGTGAGGCATCATCGTTTTAATCTGCTCCAGCAGCTAAATAAACTGTTTAAGATAACGTTAGCTTGATATGTTAGCTTCCATTGCCACCGTTGTTATCAGCTAATGGTGCGTTCGCTTTCTCCTCGGAAATTCTAACTTCCCAGTAGGAAAAATCAAATGAAAAAGGACGGTAAAAGGAATGAAGATACACAGTAAATTTAGTTCACAGTAAAGATGTTTGCTTCAGTTTAATCATCAGCTTATAAAACTACAAGAACGATGTTAAAATACAAACAGTTGTATGTTATTTATCGTGATATTTATCTAATATTGTTATATATTGAGAAAAATATCTATTTAATTATAAAAGAGAATTAAAATAATAAACACTCAAAAGTATCTAAAATTGGTACCGTTAAGTACCGGTATCGATTCCTAGGTACTGGGAATTAGTACCGGATCGATTCAAATGTCAAAGGTACCCATCCCTAACAAAAGGCCATATGCAGGTCTGCAGACGCGTTTGTGCTCGGCTCTCTAAGCTCCCACTGCGGCGTTCCAGACAGGTTCAGGTCTAGACAACACCTCAAGACTGCTGCTGCTGCTGTTTGGAATCATCTTCCCACTCCATGACCCAGTTTAGTCCCAGCTCCAGCTCTCAGAAGGACTCACATTAGACTCTAGAAGACTTTGGTCTACAGACGAGTTCATGGTGCCCATGTCATCAACCCTCCACTACCGTGTCGACGTTTAACCAGGCATGACTCTGTGCATTATGGGTAAACATCTCTACACTGGTCTCATCTGCCTAAAGGACCTTCTTTTAGTCTTGTAGTTCATTCAGACACATCTTTGTGCACCTAAGGCCCGATTCAAGGGCAGGATTCAAAACATGAGGTCACACACACGGTGATAGAGAAAGCCACAGGTGTTACAGGTGTTGTCCAACAAGAAAACACTGATTTCACACACGAACACGCTGCGATTTCAGGCCAGGACAGTCCAACGTGTTGAAATTTACAAACTTATCAGATCGGTCCTGACGTCCTTCTGAGCAGACCAGAGCACTCTAACACACCACACACAGCAGGAATAACTGATGAGATTATCTTTAGAGGTGTTACAAGAACCTGGGGTGGGGGTGTCTGAAGATGGCTGGAGGGGGAGAACTGGGCGAGCTGATCCTGACATGCTCTGCTGTGACCTTTCCCAACTAGTCCTAGGCCATCCAGGTTGATGACCTTTGACCTCCCACCTGTTAACTGGGGGTCTGTAGAGTCTGAAGTAAAGATTCAGGGATTGATCTCAGTTTGACCCTAGGGTGAACTTGACACAGCCACTCCTGGGATGTGTTCGATGACCTTTAACCCTTCTCACACCGATGGCAATGGTTCTTTTATTGCACGGTTAACACACAGCTGTATGCTCCAGACCAGCACACTGCCTAAACTCCTGCTTCTGGCACCTACCCTCCTACATCCTGTAGATACAGTGTGTGTGTGTGTGTGTGTGTGTGTGTTTTAGTTTCATAACTCTGGTGTATTTTTTACAGCTCAGCGGAGAAGTGAATCGTTTCAGAACCTGGTAAAGTACCAGGGGTCTTATTTAGAAGACATTGCGTAGAATCCTTACTAAAACCGTACTTAAGCTCAGCAAAAACGCCAAGTAGGTTTGTGATCCATCAAACATGGAGTACGCACAGCTGCACGCAATCGCCACTTCATAAATCAGAAACTGTCTAGAAAGGTTCTCAGCTGCTTTTTAGTCGCATCCCGCCCTCACCACGCCCACTTACTGCCATAAATAGTCAAAGTGCCCTGTGGAGCTCATGCATTTAGGTAAGCCGGCTGTTGCAGCGCTCCGCCAGTGACGATAGCGACCGTAGATCAAGGCAGATCAAGGAAGCGTTATTTCACACAAGCAGAAGTTGAGGTACCTGTGGGTGAGGTGGAGAAATGTAAGGAAGTACTTTTGCAAAACAAATAAGAGAAAATCCACAGAGTGGCACAGCGTTGCTGAAGCCGTCTATGCTGAGCTCTTCATAGAGATCTGTGGCGGAGATAACAAAACGGTCCAATCGGGATTCGATCCCCAGACTCCCAGGTGAAAGTCACGTGCACTAACCAGTCACCCAAACAGAGATCTTCCCTGTACAAGTAGCCAGGGCGCATGATCAATCGGGTCACAGTGACAGGACACACACACCGTCACAGACACATGATGTTCTGTCTCACTCTGCCCCCCTGCTGATATTCTGCACTTCAGGCTGTGTGCGTGGGGGGTCTTGTTCGGAGTGTGCACGAAGCGGTACAAGTGATAATGCTGCAATATTTCATAATTGTATCTTCTCAGCAGCAGCACTGCAGGTGCTCTCCATGTCCAACATGTGTGTAAGCCAGGCCCTTAGTCAACTTAAAGTTGTGCACATGTTTCCGCTAAGCTTTCTTTCATAAATCCCAAAGTTTACGTGGAAAGTTGCTTACGCAGTTTTCCAACCCCGTTTTGTGTGTAAGCAAGCCTGATAAATGAGGCCCCAGGTTGTTTTTATTACGGCCGATTTTTAAAAATGCTAAATCCAAAGAAGGAGGACGGTCGTTCCCCCTTACCGAGTCCTTTCATAGCCCCGAGCAAAAAGCAGCTGATTCACACCGAAGGAGAAGACGTAGAACTGAACACACATTTTATCAACAACTCCCATGTAACACACACACACACACACACACACCTTTGTGATTTCTGGAGAAGAGGTTTGAGTCAAACTATAAACTGGTGTAAAACGATGAAAGGTGATAGATGTCAAACAAAGAGATTATGTGAAGTATAGGAGTTCTGTTTCCAGGTGTGTGTGTGTGTGTGTGTGTGTGTGTATCACAGTAATTTGAGCTTATTCTTTAGAAACCAAAAGCAGCAGCTTCTATTTCTGCCAGGGGTTTGCCTGCAGCACACTGGTGCCATTTTCCGCTCAGATCCCACAGCAGGTAGAGGGGAGCCTACAGGAGCAGCTCAGGGAGACCACAGGGGCAACTGGAAGGCTGCTTACCCACGCAGGCCCCTTGTCTGAAAGACATGAGGGGGCAGAAAATGCTGTGAATGTGCTGAGATCCATGTTGGATGGGGAAGCTTCTCTTCAGCTGGAGTGTTCCTTCGTTGTCTACCACCCTGCCGACATGAATGTGGTACAACAAATGAAATAAGGGTGTGTGCATGTTTTCGTGGACAGCAGTAGTGAGCAGACCCACCTGTACAGAAGCAGCTTGTTGGAGCAGGCGTTGACCAGCAGCGACGGGTCTCTGGCCTCCCGGCTGATCCAGGACCGAGCAGATATGCTGCAGATGGAGCTGCCTTCATTCACCACCAGTCGCTTGGCCTTGGTAAGCTTCCCTGCAGGGGGGGGGGGGGGGGGGGGTGGCATCAAAAGGCCAACAGCAACACATCAGCTGTGTTCTCCCTCATTATTCAGTGAAAAGTCCATTAGAGTTTGTAATGTAGTCTGCAGACACTCTGGCCTCGTCCAAATGGAAATGTTCAGGCTGTACCTGTCGCCATGTCGAAGAGGAAGGAAAAGATGCTCCCCCTGTCATCTCCAGCCCACAGGATCCTCCCCGGAGCATCAAAGGAGAGAGACAGCACGCAGCCTGTCAGCTTACTGGAGCCCCCCTTCACCTTCTTCCCAGTGGAGATGTTAACCACCTGCAGGTGGTGCTTGCTGTTCCCCACCTGGAGCAGAGGACCAGGAGTGAAGACCTTCATCACTTCCACAGTGAATCAGAGAAGCCAACTGCTGAAATTTAAACGCACGTGTGTGTGTGTGTGTGTGTGTGTTTTCATAAGGTGTGAACTCTGATGAGTGAAGAACAGCCAAGCAGGTTCAGTCAAAACCCATCCACACGTTTGCTGCTTCAGCGTTTGTGTCCACAGCTGACATTTAATTCACCCACTCGTGAACACATGAGGTTATCTCGCTCTGCGTGCTTGTAGGTACACCTCACTCGCAGGAATATTAAATAATTACAAAATAAAACACGTTACAATTCATGCCCATGCTAACTTCCATCTAACCCTCCAGCATTGTTAATGGGGTCGGATGGACCTCTGGTGTGTTTTTATTTTAATATTTTTTAAGGGATGCATCACTTCACCCCTGCCAAGGCGTAAACATTAAACCCCGTTTAACCCCCCCCCCTGTCCTGGCGGGGTCAGCTGATACAGGGTAACTGCAGGTTTAAGGGAGCCAATTTTAAGACTTTTTAAGACCTTTTTTAAGGCCATTTTGACCAAATGTAAGCAATTTTTTTTAATTAAAATTTTGCTATAATTTCCAGCTATTGCCTGGAACCGGTGCTAACCACGTCGCCAACGTGGGATTAGCCATCCAGTTACCATTAAACTTTCACTTCCCCATGGCGCAAGCTCCCACTAGCTTAACCAGCTAATGTGCTCATCTAAAAACAGTCCCCTTTCACAACCAACTGAACGTGTATGGTTCTGCTTACGCCAACATCGTACACAACAATGCTGAACACTAACTAGAAATTTATGAAAATTTTATAGAAATAAAATAATCTTGTTTATTGGGGCTTTGGACATTTAAGACCTTTGGAAACTGTATTTAAGGATTATTTGTCATTTTTAAGGCCTTAAATTTGGAAAAGCAAATTTAAGACTTTTTAAGGACCCGCGGATACCCTGTGATAGGAAAGTGGCAGGGTGAAGATGACATTTCTGTGGGATCCAAAACCAATAACAGGCAGCATACGCTTACTCTTTAGTGACTAAATGAGAAGAGCCCGTGCGTACAGGACGGGTCCCCGTCTGACACAACCCCTGTTGGATGTTTTATGATAAACTCTGGAGCTGAACCACTTCTGGAATAGAGCCCGCTTGTGTTGGAAACATTAACAGCTTCTGGGGTTTAAAAACAAAGCCAACAACAACGGCAGTACTGTGCATCCACCCTCGTGTTTCAAGCAGCCAGACGATTTCCTGACCCTTTAAAATGGTGCTGATCCGTTTAATGGAGTTAAATTTCTTTAGTCCAGTACCTGACCGCCGTCAAATCAAGTGTTTTATGCAGATTTAACCGATCGAGCATATAAAGACCCTAAACTCAAGTGAGAACCGGTGTTGTGTCAACATCTGACAGAAAACCTAAAGGTGTGGTTCACCCAAAAAACATTTTTTGACGATTCTTTCTGATTAGAATCAGTCTGAGTGTTTCATTCAGGCTCAACATGAAAATAGTCTCCTACACCCATCTCCTGCAGTAGCTTCTGATAGAAATAGGCGGTGAAACTCTAGGATTAGAAAAGCCTGACGGATCTATGTCACACTGTCACCTAAAGGACTCACCCATCTCGACGCACGACGGGGAAGGCTGTTGTTGGTTTAGCGTCCAGGAAACAGCAGAGAACGTTTATGCTAGTAGAAGCTAACCGTTAGCGTTAGCAACTCCACCACACAGCAGAACTCCTCCAGGCTTTGTGTTATTTGTGGAGATAAAACATCAACATTGAAGAGCAAACAATCAGTGATAGAGTCGTGTTGCTGTTAACCAATCAGGGGAGAGATGTTCATATATCAGGAAGTAAGACACCAGATCCTGCCGTCTGAAGCTCTCTGATCCGGCTCACTTCTAGTTCCTGAAACAGGCGCACCAGAGCTTTTGTTCCCCAGATTACGACCTTTAAGGTGTTCATTCCTACAAGAGACCACTGCAGATGTATTGGTTAAACGGGTGTTCCACACCTTTAATAACCAATCCACAGTCCAAAACAGGATCTTAAGACCCTTTGTTTTCAGACACCTGTCAAACAGACTCAATAAAAACAAGACAGGCTGATACCTAAATCATTTTAAAGTGGCAGTGTGCAGCTTTCTGACACTAGGGGGCAGTACATACATACATTTCAGGGTAGTTTTACACCATATCGTCGTGACTGCCGCTAGAATAGAAAACATTACGGTAGATGTTACCTGTGGAGCAGACCTGGTAAATGGCTTGTTGATATAGCACCTTCTAGAATCCTGGAACCCCCCAAGATGCTTCACAACACAATCAGTCATTCACCCATTGACACTCTGGTGGGGATGAGCTACGATGTAGCCACAGCTACCCTGGGGTGCAGCTGCCAAGCACAGGCGCCACCGTCTGACCAGCACCAGCAGGCAAGGTGGGTTAAGCGTCTTGCCCAAGGACACAACAACAAACTGAGCGGGGCTTGAACCTGCAACCTTCTGATTACAGGGCAAGCTCTTAACTCCTGTCCCACTATCACCCCAAAGAAAGCATGCAGACTTTGATGGCCCTTCAGTTAACTCCATGGAGAGAGCGCCATGGCGATTGTAATTTTCTGGCGCTGTACTTTCCGGATGTGCTCGGGGTCCTGCGCCTGCCGATTACATCATACTACGATAATTCTGCTCGCCCAAAATATTTTGCATTTCTAGTTCGATTCTGCTCTTTCACATAGTTTTTGGAAAGAGTTTAGCAGGTCTGTTATTACATTTGTGTTTCTTACTACTCCTGCCCACGTTTTTCAACATGGTAACGTAACTTCCACAGGTCGTACATCCAGCAAATCATCTAGTGTGTGTGACCTCAGACAGGCGTAGGGTCCAAAGCTAGCCAGAAGGAAACATAGGGCGCTTACACATTAGCGTCAGTTTCTATCCCTTCCGGGACCAGAATTTGGCTTCACACACGGGTCAGGTTTGTGTTTTCTGTTCTGAGGCGACTCTTTTTTTTCCAATCAGTGGGAACGGGAGAAGAGAGTGAGCTGTGTGTGTGTGTGTGTGTGTGTGTGTGTATGCTGTCCTCACTAAAGTTTGTTGCAGGCAACGTCATTTCAGCTATACAGCTAGTTTAACAATCTTTGTTTCCCGGCACTTCATCCTCCAAGAAACGGGCCGCTTGTTGAATTTGGCAGGATTTATTGAAGAAAACAAAGTATCTTTATCTTGTAAAACCGTACAAAAATAAGAATATAAAATACAAAGGTCATCATTCTGAGTAACACTTTAAGAGAATAACTAACAGCCACAAGCTACAAATGTTATCTGATCAAAATACAAACTTCTTTAAAAAATAATTGAAAATGGTAGCAAAACTTAACAATATAAATATTAAATGTATAAGAACTTACGGATGAAGCCGATATTGTCGACATTAAGACCAAGATTGAGGAGACTGTCACAAGATTTCCCCTGAAGGAAAGGAGCACCCTACCATCTGAAAATGGCTCCCTATGTCCCATTACTTCCTGTTATATCACTTCTTTTACCCAACATATTTTCCTTAGCTACCACTAGGTGGAAGTAAAACTTTAAATAACAAAAATCAACCTGATTACAGGACACTCCCCGCCTGGCATACTATTTGCCACACTATATACAACTAATGAACAACCCTTAGTTCACTGATGAATCACTAACCTAAGGAGAAAACAACAAAACCACCGGAGAAACAGGTCTTGAGAAGACTCTTCTGTCTGGTTACGTGTCACTTTAACTTCTACTTTTCTGACAAGGCCATCTTTGCTGGGAACAACCTTGACAATAATCCCCATAGGCCACGGATTCCTCTATGTCCGATCATCCCTCATCAGAACAATATGTCCTTCTTTGAGATTGGGTTTCTGCGATTGCCACTTGTGCTGACTCTAATGTGCTCAAGTATTCGCAGTGCCACCTAGTCCAGAAGGTATCAGCCAAGGCTTCAACTCACTTCCACCGATTCTTGAGCAAATCCACTTTTGAGCGTTCACCCACAGCCGGAGGAGGAACACCTGTCTTCTGTGTCAGCAATATGGAAGGTGTTAGAATGAAAGGAGCCTCTGGGTCAGTGGAAACCGGTATTAACGGCCTAGCATTCACAATGGTGCTCAACTCGGCCACGAACGTGGTTAAGACTTCATGAGTGAGCTTCGCATGTGCGGCCTGAAGAAGCATAGAATCCAAAATCTGTCTTGCAAATTCAATCATGCGCTCCCAAGCGCCGCCCATATGAGAGGAGTGAGGTGGGTTGAAAACCCAAGAGCATTTTTGTTGAAGAAGATAATCCTCTATGCTTTTATTGCAGGGATCCATTTTCAGTTCTTTGAATGCTCCAGTGAGATTGGTTCCACAGTCTGAACGAAGCCGTTTAGCATAGCCTCTGATGGAGAAAAATCTCCAGAGCGCATTTATGAAGCTTGAGGATGTCATCGTCTCAATAACTTCCATATGTATAGCGCGAGTGGACATACATGTGAAAAGAACTGCCCATCTTTTGCCATTTGCTCGGCCACCTCTGGTACGTTGTGTCACCACTTCCCACGGTCCAAAAACGTCGAGGCCAACAAAGGAAAATGGAGGTTCAGCCTGAAGGCACTCAGTGGGTAGATCTGACATTTGCTGCTCCTCAGTTCTTCCCCTTAGCTTCCTGCATGTCACACGCTTGTGAATAAAGCTGATGATGAGTCGTTCAACAATCCACAGTCCACTGTTACGAATGGCACCTTCGGTGAAATGCCTTCCTTGGTGCTTCGCAGACTGATGATGCCAAACAAGCAAACTCGCTACATGGTTGCGTCCTGGTATTATCAGTGGATGCGCTTCGTTACTTTAAAGTTGTCCTTGACCAATACGTCCACCTATTCTTAACATGCCTTCGCTGTCAAGAATAGGATGAAGTTTGTGCAGAGTTCTGGTTTTGGGAAAGTTGCGTTTTGTTTTAAAGC